AAAAAAAAAAAAAAAAAAAAAAAAAAAGAAATCTTCCAGGGGCGCCTGGGTGGCTCAGTGGGTTAAAGCCTCTGCCTTCGGCTCAGGTCATGATCTCAGGGTCCTGGGATGGAGCCCTGCATCGGAGCCCTACATCCAGCTCTCCGCTCAGCGGGAAGCCTGCTTCCTCCTTTCTCTGCCTGCCTCTCTGCCTGCTTGTGATCTCTGTCAAATAAATAAATAAAATCTTAAAAAAAAAAAAAAAAATGAAATCTTCCATTTGCAACAACATGGATGAACTAGAGGGTATTATGCTAAGCGAAATAAGTCAATCAGAAAAAGACAATTACATGGTCTCACTCATATGTGGAATTTAAGAAACAACAGAGGATTAAAGGGGAAGAGAGAAAAAAATAATATAAGACAAAATCAGAGAGGGAGACAAACCATAAGAGACTCTTAATCATAGGAAACAAACTGGGAGTTGATGGGTGGGGGCTGGGGGGGATGGGGTAACTGGGTGATGGACATTAAGGAGGGCATGTGATATAATGAGCACTGATATATGACTGATGTATCTCTGACCTCTTCCTCTGAAACCAATACATGTTAATTAACTGAATAAAAAAACAAAACCGAACTCTGCAAATAAACTCTTCCTTTTATATATGCTATTAGCCAACTTTCACATCTAGTATTGCCTAGCAGTGAATAGCACTTGACCACACTCCACAGGACGTTCTGATATACTAAGAGTTCCATAAAACATAATCAACCTTTATTAAATCAATTTGTTTATTCAAGAAAAAAAATTAAAAACCCAAATAGAAACCATGTCTCTATGTCAATTTTAATTTAGAAATCTGTTGGTTATTTGAATAAGAGATACCATAAATAATTTCTCCTCTAAATACTCATTTACTATAAAGGCATACTAGAAGAGAACCTCTAATAATGATTTGAAAATGTGAAAAACATCAATCTTAAACCAAAGAACCTTTAAAACGTTTAAACAAAATTAGTGTCAATGAAAAAAAAAATTAATGTCAATGAACTACACCATGTTTCTGAGACTAAAAATGTTGTAAAGTACCCGAATGAGGGCACCTGGGTGGCTCAGTTGGTTGAGCATATCTCTTTGGCTCAGGTCATCCTGCTTCACAGGCAGTCTGCTTCTCCCTCTGCCCTTCTATGTGCTCATTCTCTCTCTCAATAAATAAAATATTTTTAAAAGGTACCTGATTGATCACTTCTGTGGTGATGTGGATAAAAAGACACCAGACCTAGACCACTTAGAATGTTTGCACATCACATGCCCCAAGTCCCCCACACCCAAATTTGAATGGGAATCTGGCACCTGAATTTTTTATACACAAGCTATTACATACACATACTTCTCTGCTGGGAAATATTAAGATAAGCGTTTGCATCATGGGACATTTCTTATATGAAACTATTAACCCACATTCAACAATGACTCTAGTTGTCCTACTGTCCCCTGGCTTACTGTGTGTAATTTATAAGTATGTGTCTTGAGAAGACCAATCTCAGAAAAAGTGACAATCTTAATTATCATGTTACACAGGACCAAGGATCAAGAGTACCTGGTTAATATGAAACAATAAAATATGACTGGTAAATGATTAGAAAGATGATGCTTATATGAAGATGCTTTAAGAACTCCAGGTAAAAACAAAACAAAACAAAACTCCAGGTAAGTTCGATGTAAAGCTTAAACATAATAGACAGTCTTAAAAGGATGAAAAAAACGGAATATGATAATCCACACTGTATTAAAAGTAAACACATAGGGGCCCTGGGTGGCTCAATGGGTTAAAGCCTCTGCCTTCGGCTCAGGTCATGATCCCGGGGTCCTGGGATCGAGCCCCGCGTCAGGTTCTCTCAGCGAGGAACCTGCTTCCTCCTCTCTCTGCCTGCCTCTCTGCCTACTTGTGATCTCTGTAAAATAAACAAAAATCTTAAAAAAAAAAAACAAAAAACAGTAAACACATATATCCACTCATTCTCATGCATCCACAAGTGTGAAAAGTAAAAAAGATCAATGCAAATGGAAGCATGTAAAAAAAATTTAAGGATGGCAGCAGGAATTTACCGATTTTCCAATTTATCCACTCTCCAGTATTTATAAAATATGCCTTGGTAGAGGGATTCATCAAGATATGATATGTGAATCTGGCACTTACATATGATATCCATACTACAATGTCAACCATAAAGATCACAAAGCACTTGAATCTTGTAAAGCAGAAGTTAATTTTTTTTCTAGTGGGGGTGGGGAGAATCTGAGAATCCACTAAAAAAGACACACACCCCCAAGAAAAATAATTATACAATGTTTTAAGAAGTTCTGCCCTAAAGTGTAAAAATCTGAGAATACTAAATCACCTCCCCTGGATAAACACATGTAATCTTCTAATTCGGTAGAGTACCACAAATATCTTTTCCTTCTTGAAATCATTCCCTCTTTTGCATCACCTCTTCTACATTAGATCTGTAAAATCCAGGGATTACTTGCTCATCTTTCCCGACCTCAAAGTGTTATTTCAGCACTCATGACCACTCTACCTCAAAACACTTTCTACTCGCTGCTTTCTGACATTACTCTCTTGATTTTCCTTCTATCTCTCAGTCCCCTTTGCTTCTCCCTCAGACTATACAACCTCTAAACTAGAGGTTCAAGTCTGCATCCTGGACCCTCTTCTCATTCTACCTTTCTTCTCTTGATGAGCTTGAGGGATTTCCTCAGACAAGGGCCTCTATATATTGACGTCTCCCAAATGTGTATGTATCTCAAGCTTATGAATATTAACTTGAGTCTAAAATACTCCTCTGAGCTCCATTCACCTATACCTAACTTCTACTTTCTATCTGCCACCTTCATTTGGATGCTTCCATCTAAAGCCTAACATGGAGTGCCTGGGTGGCTCAGTCGGTTAATTGTGTGCCTCTGATTCAGATCATGATCCCAGGATCCTGAGATTGAGCCCCGTGTGGGGCTCTTTGCTCAGCTGGGAGACGGCTTCTTCCTCTCCTTCTGCCTGCTGCCCTCCCCACTTGTGCTCTCTGTCAAATAAATTAATAAAATATTTTTTTAAAAATAAAAAAAAAAAATAGGGACGCCTGGGTGGCTCGGTGGGTTGAGCCGCTGCCTTCGGCTCGGCTCATGATCCCAGGGTCCTGGGATCAAGTCCCACATCGGGCTCCTTGCTCGGCAGGGAGCCTGCTTCTCTCACTGCCTCTGCTGCCTCTCTGCCTGCTTGTGTGTACTCGCTTGCTCTCTCTCTCTTTGGCAAATAAATAAAATCTTTAAAAAAATAAAATTAAATTAAATAAATAAATAAATAAATAAAATAGGGGCACCTGAGTGGCTCAATGGGTTAAAGCCTCTGCCTTCGGCTCAGGTCATAATCTCAGGGTCCTGGGATCGAGCCCTGCATCGGGCTCTCTACTCAGCAGGGAGCCTGCTTCCCCCTCTCTCTCTGCCTGCCTCTCTGCCCACTTGTGATCTCTGGCAAATAAATAAAATCTTTTAAATAAATAAATAATAAAAAATTTTTTTAAAAGCCAAACATATCCACAAAGGGCTCATTTTCTATGCTTCCTTCATCCAAAAACACACACACAGTGGTCCTATTCCAGTCTTGTTCCTATCAGTAAAACATGGCCATTGTCTACCTAATTGTTAAGACCACAAAAACTTGGAGCCATTCTTGGTCCTTTTTCTCACCTCCCACATCCAATCCATCAACAGATACAGGTGTTCTAACCCCATCTCCACTGCCACCATCTTAATCCTAACTGCCATCACCAGTTGCTTGGAATAGAGCAATACCCTCCTTTCTGATCTCTGTTCTTCCACTCGTGCCTTCCTCCCAGCTATCTGCCACATAGCAAGGAAGGCAGGAAAAGACTTTTTAATCACTATTGAAATAATGTCACCTCCTTGCTTCAAAACCTTGAATGGCTTTCCACTGTTCTTAGAATGAAATCCAAACTCTACCTTGGTTTACATGATTCCACCTCACATGGTACTACTCCCCACCTCATGGCCTCCAGGTCTGTGCTTCCCTCAGTCTGGGATGTTCTTTTTGTACTTTGAACAAGGTTTTTCTCCTTTCTTCTCCTCTGGCAGGTCTTTGCCTAAATGTCTTTTTAAGCCTTCTCCAAGTAACTTCCCTACCCCAATTACTCTCCATCAATGCACTGTTAATTTCTCTCTTACCAGCTGACACGACTTGTAGATACCTAACCTTCCACCTGGTTACTGTCTGTATTGCCTACTAGATAGAATTCAAGTTTCAGGGAGGTTTGAAACTCAACGTAGGGAGTTGAAGCTCGAGCTGCTGTGCACCCAAAAGAGGAACTGGGGCCAGGCACCTTCTCCCTTCCCTGGGCTGCACCCTTGCCCCACCTGATTCCTCCTGGTTGAGATGGGCTCAGCCAAAAGCACCCCAGTCACTCCAGCACAGCCTCCACTGCACAAACTTCTGGCCCAAATGGTGGAACTCCATTTACCTAACACCGTCATTCTGCACACTCCCATCCCAGTGGAGAGCACTCCACAGCCAAACCTACCAGCAGGGGAGCAGCTGGAAGGTCCTAATCACATCCAAAACTCAGATCCCCACTCTTCTACCCTTGGTATTGCACAGATACCTATGAAAACCAGTAGCAGAGAGCCTCCCAAGCCCACTGGTTAAACACCTGAATGAAGTATTTGAGACGAAAGGCCCCAAATCAAATCTTCCTGAGAGCCTGTTCTGCCCTTAGAGTCAGAGGCAACTTCCTCTTCTGCAATGGACACGCCTCTGGGTACCTAGTTTTCCCTCTTCTCTAAGCAGGTGTTCTCCAAGAAGGAAGCAGGACAGCCCTCAGAAACCCCCATAAATAGCCAGGGCTCGAACAAGCCCTTAAGGGAACCTGAGACTCCCCGGATCTTCAGGTTCTAAGCACAATAGATGGACAGTAAGTAAATGGCAAGGTACTAGGGAGCTCTCCCCCCACCATCCTGACACCATGACAGGGTAAGCGGCCTTCTTCTCCCCTGAGTGAAAATGCTAGGGAGCTAAAGGAAGCAGACATTCTGGGAACTGGATGACTTCTGAAAACTGGAGGCTGAGTGTGGGAGCAGGACTAGGACCAGGTTAAGGAAAATCAGTACTTTGCAAACTTGGTAGAGAACTAGGCCGCAAGTGGCCTCAGTGCTGAGTTCATGAGGGGCCCTGTGATACTGTGACCTCTCAACCCTGTCTTTCCCTGCGAGACTGGAAAGGCTCATTGTCAACAACTCTCCCTAAACTGTCAACTCAGGGACTGAGCACTTTCTTGGGCTTTGTGTCTCATGTATTTCTTGTATGTTAAAAAAGTGATTTAAAAATAAGTAAATAGGGGTGCCTGGGTGGCTCAGTGGATTAAAGCCTCTGCCTTCAGCTCAGGTCATGATCTCAGGGTCCTGGGATCAAGCCCCACATCAGGCTCTTGGCTCAGCGGGGAGCCTGCTTCCCCCTCTCTCTGAGCCTGCCTCTCTGCCTACTTGTGATCTATCTGTCAAATAAATAAATAAAAATCTTAAAAAAAAAATTAAGTAAATAAAATAAAATTCAAGTTCCACAACCCAGAGGCCTGATCTGTTTTAGTCACCTGAGTAGCACACAGAGGACTCTCATATTT